TTCCATTCATCCTTCCATCCTTCCATCCTTCCGTCTGTCCTTCCATCCATCTTTCCATCTGTCCTTCCATCCATCCTTCCATCTTTTTTTTCTTTTCACACCTTGTATTTGTATTTTTATTTTTTTTGGCAATTTCACAAATTTAATAAAATTGGGTATAAATAATTGATATTTTAAATTTTCACTGAGAAAGACCATTAAACTCTGGCTGGCCCACGGAACATTTGCTGTTGGTGTACTTTGAGTGTATGGCCAGTACTGAGAACATTGATAAAGTCTAGTGCACGTTATTTACTCATTCTGTCATCAGCCCCACTGAAGAATGGTGACAAATAGTTAATTTTTCCTTGCTTTTTAAAAAATTTTCTCTATACATATACATGTGTTTATTTGGTTTCCACTTTTTGCCTTCACAAAATTAAAAAGGCTTAAAGTTTAACAACAATAACAATGTTTAAGATAAAAACTAAAAACAAAAACCTTGTAAAGAACAAATAAAGATAAATACATGTGGAAAAGAAATCAGATGATTGCTGCAATGAATTACTAAGCAATAATAATAATAATGTAAAAAAAGTAACATTCACATTGTCAGATTAAAGTAGGTCTATCATAGAAGGCTTTGACTCTGAGGTTCAGTATGGAGTCATCAGTCAACTTCTCTTTTTTTCCAAAGTCTCAAAAAATAGACAACTACTATTTAAATCAAAATAGAAGATAATTTCAAAAAACAGATCATGACAAATCTTATAGACAATAGAAAAAGAAGAAATACTTTAAAATCATTTTATTTCATCTGGATATACCTGATATTAAAATTGGAAAAAATATATTATTATAAAGGGAAATTACAAACATATTTCACTTATAAATGAGGATGCAATATCCTAAACAACATACTAACAAGTTGAATTAAAAATTATTATTCAAATAATGTACTTTGGTCAGAATTAAATCCAATTAAATTCAATTTATTAGTCACTATTTTCTTTTTTTTTCTTTTCTGTTCCCCCACCCTCTTCCCTCCTTCTCCTTCTCTCTCTGCTCCCCTTTCCCCTACCCCCCACCATGTCATTAATTGTTATTAATTGTCCTCATATCAGAGTTGAATACATAGGATTCATGCTTCTCCATTCCTTTGATGCTTCACTAAGAATAATCTGTTCCACCTTCATCCAGGTTAATACAAATGCTGCAAAGTCTCAATTTTTTTTTTAATGCCCGAATAGTATGTCATGATATACATATACCACAGCTTGCCAGTCCGTTCCTGGGTTGAGGGGCATTTAGGCTGTTTCTACATTTTAGTGATTGTAAACTAAGCTGTGATAAACAGTCTAGTACAAATGTCTTTATAATAAAAGGTTGTTTTTCCTTCTGGATAGATGCTCGGTAATGGGATTGCGGGGTCAAATGGGAGGTCTAGGTTGAGTTCTTTGAGGTTTCTCCATACTTCCTTCCAAAATGGTTATATTAGGTTGCAGTCCCACCAGCAGTGTAAAAGTGTTCCTTTCTCTCTACATCCCCACCAGCATCTGTTTTGAGATTTTGTGATATGGGCCATTCTCACTGGGGTTAGATGATATCTCAGG